ATTCCCTATAAATAAGCACATTATTATGCTTGAATAATGAAGGAAGAAGAAGTTTCTTTCCCCTTCATTTTTAGGTCAACCTTCACGGTATCAGAGCAGCCATTCTGATCCTTGTCCATTGCTTTTTGGGTTAGCCAGAATTGCAAATGGCTTCTGGTCGAACATTGTCTTCTCCACCCGAGGTCTCTTCGGGGCCTATCTTCCCTTCGTCTTCAGTGTTGCTTTTCATTCGGGGCAAAAGCCGTGAGGAATATCTCACCGGTGAAGCAACGCTGCTCCCGACAACCGACCCCAATGCGCAAACATGGAAGATGGAGAACAACCTCATGATGTCGTGGCTAGTAAATTCTATGTTACCGAAAATTTGAAAAAATTTTCTTCTTTATGAAACACACAAAATCTGGATATCCGCGAGAGAGTTCTACTCAACAAAGGAGAATACTTCAACAATTTTTGAGATTGAGTCCACCCTCCCTGATCTTCGACAAGGTGAGTATACTGTGACTCAATACTATAACATTCTAACTCGCAGTTGCCAACAACTTGATATGTTTGAAGAACATCGATGGAGTTGTGCGGACGATGCAAAAGCCTTTCAAGTAATTACAGAACATAAGCGGATTTTTAAGTTCTTGCTAGGTTTGAACTCTTATCTCGATGACGTGCGCAGCTGAATATGGGGCTTGAAGCCGCTGTCCAATATTCGTGAAGTTTTTTCTGAGGTCCGATGAGAGGAGAGTCAGAAGAAAGTCATGATGGGAGAAGGACAGATCACGACAATTGCAGTTGAGAACGCGTCTGCCCTCATGACGCGTCTGGACAGTCGGGGCAAGAAAGGTCGGCCCTTTTGTGATTATTGTAAGAAGCCCGACCATGTGTGCGATCGGTGCTGGAAACTCCATGGAAAGCCGGCTGACCGAAACCCTTCAAGACTAGAAAATGCTACCGAGCTTCAGGGAAATTTGGTGACAGTAGCGGAAAAGTGTCCTTTTACTCCTGAGCAGCTTGAGATGCTCCAGAAATTATTTTCCAGGAGTTCTGCTAATCTGATTGTTGCTCACAAAGGTAAGAATTTTCATAGTCTCAGTTTTACAGCTTGCTCAACAAGTGGACAGATCTGGATAGTTGATTCCGGGGCGTCAGATCATATGACTGGTAATGCTTCCTTATTTCAAGATTACAGACCGTGCTCTGAGTGTTTTACAATTAAAATTGCTGATGGGTCTATCTCGAAAGTGGTTGAAATCGAGTCTGTTATTATATCATCAAAGATGACTCTACATTCTGTTCTCTTTGTACCTAATTTGGACTGTAACTTGCTATCAGTAAGTAAGCTATCTGGAGAACTTAGCTGTGTTGCTAAATTTGGTTCAACGTTGTGTGAATTTCAGAACTTGGATTCGGGGAAGACAATTGGCAGTGCTAGGATGAAATCTGGTCTCTACCTACTTCAAGCTGCCCTCTCTAGTGGACAAACTCAAAAGCAGTATGTGCTAATTCAGTTTTTACAAGAAGCCCTAGTAGTGATAATGAAATTATGTTATGACATTTTCGCTTAGAACATCTAAATTTCTTATATTTAAAAAGAATGTTTCCTTTATTATTCACGAATAAAAATCCACTTTCATTTCAATGCGAAGTTTGCCAGTTCTCTAAACATATTCAAAGTTCATTTCCTGGTCTAAAATATAAACCTTCAAAACCCTTTTCATTAATTCACAGTGATGTCTGGGGTTCCTCCAGAATTACTAATATATCTGTAAATAAGTGGTTTGTATCCTTTATTGATGATTATACTAGAGTCATTTTAGTGTTTCTTATGAAAGAAAAATCAGAAGTAGGTGCAATTTTCAAAAAGTTCAGCACCATGATCAAAACCTAGTTCGGTACTACCATACAAGTATTGAGATCCGATAATGCATGTGAGTATTTTAAGTTAACCCTTCAAAACTACTTTGCAGAAAATGGGATAATTCACCAAAGTTCTTGTGCTTATACTCCTCAACAAAACGGTGTAGCCGAGAAGAAAAACAGGCACATCCTTGAAGTTGCCCGATCCATTATATTCACCTCACATGTTCCAAAACAGTTTTGGGGGGAAGCCTTACTTACTACCACCTATTTAATAAACAGAATGTCTTCCTGTATACTACAGTTTCAAACACCCTATGAGCTTTTTTCATAGTTTTTTCCAAACTCTCACATTCTAAATTCTTTATCACTTAAAAGTCTTTGGGTGCTCTGCCTATATTCATGTTTATTCTCATCTACGGGGCAAACTTGATTCTAGAGCTCTCAAGTGTATTTTTGTTGCGTATTCTTCCAATAAAAAAAGATACAAATGTTTTTTTTCAGATACTCGTCGGTTTTACAGCACTATGGATGTAATCTTTTTCGAAAATCAACCATTTTATACCAAAAGTGATATTCAAGGGGAGAAAGTTACTGAGGAATATCACCTTTGGGATGCCATCATATCTTCACTTATTCCAGTCCACTCAAACCCTTTCATAGATACTATCCACACAGAATGAGCCTGAACCAGAATCTGTGGTAGGAACTAAGGACACATTTTCTGCAATAAATGAGTTACGTGTCTATACTAGAAGGAACAAGACTCAGAAAGGGAAAGTAGCAGAAGAGACCGAACTCTATCATAACTCAACCTTGTTTCCAATTGTCCAGGCTTCACTAGGTAATAATGCTTTAAACCTTACTACTGATGATGATCTGCCTATTGCATTGAGAAAAGGTACCAGATCTTGCACTAATCATCCTATACAAGATTGTGTCATTTGACAATTTGTCTTCAGAATATCATGCATTTGTGAGTAAACTAGATAAAAGCTCTCCAGAACTGAAAACTGTTCATGAAGCCCTTCAAATACCAGAATGGAGAGCAGTTATTCAAGAAAAGATGAGAGCTCTTGAGAAGAATGAGACATGAGAGCTGACTGAACTGCCCATAGGAAAACACCAGGTAGGATCTAAATGAGTTTTTACAACCAAATATAATCCTGATGATAGTATAAACAGATAAATAACTCGTCTTGTTGCAAAAAGATTCACACAGTCATATGGGATAGATTATCAAGAGATTTTTACCCCTGTTGCCAAACATAATACGATACGGATACTGTTTTATCTTGTATCAAATCTTGACTGGCTCTTGTTTCAGCTATATGTGAAGAATGCATTTCTTAATGGTGATTTGAAAGAAGAGGTTTATATGGATATTCCTCCAGGATTTGAAATATCTGAGAGCCCTCATAAGGTGTACAGACTTAAGAAATCACTCTATGAACTCAAGTAATCACCAAGAGCATGGTTCGAGAGGTTCATAAGAGTAGTAAAGGAAGTTGGGTATGAGCAGTGTCAGTCTGACCATACTCTTTTCATCAAGC